AGATCAGGTGAGACAAGTGAAAGAGACTGAGATATACAGTAAAAATCTAAAAAGACCCTACAGCCAGGTTACTTCCCCAAAGCCAAAGTTCTTATTCCATTTTAAATAAAGATAAAATTTATAGATGCTATATTATAGGATAAATATGTGCAAATAAAATGACAGACTTCAACCAGAAAATGACTTTGTTCCTGTATCAAAACATTAGCAAACAAATATATTATATGTCTTTTAAATCAAAGTAAAATGTATCTTTCCTTGCCTTGCATGCATGTGTGCTCAGTGATGTCTCTTTGTGACCCCATGGACTGTACCTCACCAGGCTCCTGTGTCCATGGGATTTCCCAGGCAACAATACTGGAGCAGGCTGCATATCCTACTCCAGGGGATCTTCCCAGCCCAGGGATTGAACCCACATCTCCTGCATCTCCTACACTGACAGGTGAGTTCTTTACCAGTAACTCACCTGGGAAGCCCACAGTGGAATACCACTTAGCCATAAAAATGAAATAACGCCATCTGTAGCAGCATGGTTGGACCCAGAGATTATTGTACCGAGTAAAGTAAGTCAGAGAGAGACAAATACCATGTGATATCATTTATACATGGAATCGAAATAGGACACAAATGAACTTATCTACAAAACAGAAGCAGACTCGCAGACCTAGAGGCCATACTTGTGGTTGCCAAGGGGAAGTGGGGGTGCAGGAGGGATGGGTTGGGAGTTTGGAATCAGCCGAGGCAAACTATTATACATCGAATGCATAAACAACAAGGTCACACTATATGGCACAGGGAACTATATTCAATATCCTATAAATGACAGTGGAAAAGAATATGAAAAAGAATAAATATATGTATAACTGAATCACTTTGTTGTACAGTAGAAATTAACAACATTGTAAATCAACCATACTTCAATCAAATAAAATGAAAATGAAAATGTATCTTTGTAGTGGGTGTTCCTTTCTTCAACAAACTTTCAAAATAACCAATCAACAAATTAGTTGTCCTGCATTGGATATGAGAACATCTACTGATATTGAGATCTGCCCTTATTCATACCTTTTCTATCCTTCCTTCCTAAAACTGAGCAGCTAGCACAACATGAGCCTAGCACAACATTGCCACAGAGCCGTATTCCCCAACAACTGTATAGAGTTGTTCCTCAAAGCAACAGTGAAAACGAGTATGACTCAGAGTGATCAAATGTCTGGGGAAAGCTTCAAGCCATGCCCCCTCTTGCAAATTCATGAAGCCCTCTAGTACACTAAGGGTAAAGAAATAAGCTAAACTTCGTATAACCCAGATTTTCCTAAACCTATTTCATCACGCTACCCTTTCTTGGGAGCAACACCTATAATATCCTGTAAGATACACACTTTGGGATCGATCAATGCTTTGGGGCCCATAGAAGAGGTATTATATATGATCCCTATTCTTGAGGAATTTACTACTGAGTCAGACATGAAAGATGTAGACTGGACCCACACATATATATACCGAACAAGTAAGTAACAGAGTTAGTCAATGCATTCTTGGGATCAAGTGAGAATCAGTAGGCATCACAGATGAGAACAGATCAGTCAGCTACCTCTAAATAACTTTCACAAATGTTGAATCTTAGCCTAAAAACCCTGCGCATGGTCTACTTTTCTAGAAAGTTCAAAGAGAACTCACATTTCTTTTTTTTTTTTTTCTCAAAGAGAACTCACATTTCTTAAGTGGGATTGTGTGTCAGGCATGGCTCTTTATATATGTTATTCCATTTAATCTTCACAACTGTGGGAAATGAGTTACAATCTCCTTTTTCAAAGAAATAGAATGATTGCACAGCTAGTGGAAGGGCCTCAATTCACACCTCTGTCTGTCTGGCTTCAAAGCCTGTCTTCTTTTCACTGTGCCCTGTGACCAAGAGCTTTCACAGTGCCTTTCCTGAGCTGCTGTTTAGCGGGGGCTGTGTGTCTGCCTCTATCTGCAGAGCCAGACTTGGGCCTGAAGAGGACAGCTTGCATGCTGAGTTACTAGAGTCCAGAATTCTCCCCACCCTCTTCCTCCCCCTCATCCAGAAGTTCTGAGTTCTGACTTTAAAGGCAGAAGGGTCACTCCCTTGTCCTGTCTCCATGACCTCTGGGGGGAGGACTTGCCAATGTCAAGTGCTTTATCAACAGTGTCCACTCTGACTGCACTCTGAGCTTGCAGAGGGCCTGGGGCGGGTGACCACCTCACTCCAACAGCTCAGCAGGTGCCCCCCGTCATCCCAGATCCTTCTGCAGCTCTGACCTGGCTCCTTCCTTCCCCTCTGTTTTGCGCTCAGCTGCTCTGCTCTCTCTCCCCTGTCTGGCTGGAGATGGCCGTGGAGTGGAAGGCAAGGACCCTGAGCTATGGAAGGGGCTGGGCAGAAGGGGTGAGAGGCGGGACATTGACCTGAAGTCCAAGGTCAGAGGGCAGGCACAGCCAGGAAGGATGGATACTGTGACCTTCTGTCTCAGGCTGAAGGCTTAACTCGGCGGGTGGGGGAGCTGGCCTGGACGCTGGGCTCCTGGGCAGTGGGGTGGGGACTTGTCTTGCAGCCTCCTCTCCCTACTACACTTGTGTTTTCTCCCCTGAAAAGCAAAGTTGTAGAGGTGTTCACAGTCTTCAAAAATGCATTGAGGGGTGGGGACAGGGGAGAGAAGTCAGCTAACACTGTTTAAGGACACCAGGGCCTCCGCACTCATTTCATTCCTGCGTCATGATTTCCACAAGAGAGGAGTGTGGCCAGACTGCAGAGGATTGAGGGAAAGCCTAGATACGAAGCCAGGTTTGGTTGCCCTAAAAGCCCACACGTTCCCACCATTCCCACTGCCCTACACATTCTCACAGCATGACACAGGGGGCTCCTGCTATGGCCGGGGGGTAGCCTGGGTGCTGCAAACATGGGTGTGACAGGTCAGCACATGGACACAAAACCTCCCTGACCGACGCCCTCTTCCCGGGGGTGGGGCTGGAGCCCAGCACAGACTCCGGCATCTCAGGGCCACCACAGCCCTCTGCTCTCTGCCCACGTGGAAGAGACAGCAGGCAGGGGACCTGGGCACCCCCACCACGAGCTCCAGGTCCTGAGTTAGAGGAAGAGGCTGGGCCTGGCCCTGGCTCCCTGGCTTCTTCACTAGACTCCAGGCATCTCTCCAACCTCCTCTCCTCACCTTAACCTTCAGCCTTCCAGCTCCTTCTCTCCAAATTTGGTTATTGTCTGTGCCCAAGGTGATGCTTTCAAAATGGGCTTCCTCAGCAAAGGAAGTCTGGGGGAGGATGTGGATACTGGTGGTAGATGCAGAGCTCTGGCCATATCCAGCACCACAGAGTGATGCTGGCCATCTGCTGGGTGGGCAGGCCCCCCGCTTCCGGGGCAGGGATCCTCAGTTCAGTTCGGTTCAGTCACTCAGTCGTGTCTGACTCTTTGGGACCTCATGGACTGCTGCATGCCAGGCCTCCCTGTCCATCACCAACTCCCGGAGTTTACCCAAACTCATGTCCATTGAGTTGGTGAAGCCATCCAACCATCTCATCTTCTGTCATCCCCTTCTCCTCCTGCCCTAAATCTTTCCCAGCATCAGGGTCTTTTCAAATGAGTCAGCTCTTCACATCAGGTGGCCAAAGATCCCCAAATCCTGGACCTTGGCTCCATGGCTTTTGGAGGCTATCCCATTTCAAATAAAGGGCTGATGATTAATTAATTAGTTCCCAAGATCCACTGACTTTCTCTCCTCTCTGAACAAAGAGCCTCCCTAACTTCTGGTTCTTCTCCACACTTTGCCAGCCAATATGTCTACAGTCCTAAGCTTGGTATTTATCTTCTGTCTGTGTGTCTATTACTGCCATGCCAGGCCAAGAGCTTGCAGACCACCGGGAGCCTGCCTGTGCTTGAAGATTCTGCCTCCCCATCCCAGACACACACACACACACACACACTCAGCCCAGACAGAGTCACCAGCTTTATTGCTCCAACCCTTGTATGATGCAAGAAGGTCACAGTTTTGAAGTCACTCCTGATACTCAACCCAAGGCTTATCTGCTGCAACTTACCGTGCACACAAACACAGCCACCGTCATGCTAGGTGCACACAGCAGCGCTTCACAAACCCACGCCCCCTGCAGTGGAAGCTCAGAGTCCTAACCGCTGGGCCACTGGGGAAGCCCCTATAAACATTACTTTTTTTTTTTTTTTAGTGAAAAAAATTTTTTTTGGCTGCGTCCCATGGTCTGTGGGATTAGTTCCCCGACCAAAGACTGAACCTAAGCCACCTGCCTTGGAAACACAGTTCCTTAACCACTGGGCCATCAGAGAAGTCCCCCATAAATGCTACTATTAAAGCTTAGGCTGCATCATCATCTCATGAAAGAGACCCAAGAAAACAACTGCTCTGCCTCTCTGAGCTGAGCTGGCTATCTGATGCTAGGATTTCATCCTGGGCTGCCCACCCCGGGGTAGGGGTGGGCTTAACCATGGCTCGCCAGTCCACGCTTCTTCCTCTGGCTGCTCTGATCAGAAGGAAAGGGATGCACATCCTCTGCTCTGCCCCCAGCACCAAGGACTCAGGAAACAGAAGGGTTTGACTGGAGAATCAGCATTTTCTTCCACGGGAGAGGACAGGGGTGAGTGTGGCTGCCGCAGTAGCAGTAGCCACAGCCCCGCCCCCACAGAATCCCACTCTGTTCACGAAACACTGTCCACTTGCCCACAACTTCACGCTCTTCAGAACGTGTCCATCCCCATTCCCTCATGGACGTCATATTCTTTTGAGGCAGTAACCACAAGCACTGGAGGAATCTCCAGCTTTAGGTCCCATTTAAGCCTCCCTCAACCCTGGCCTCTGGAAGATGGTGTCCCTACAGGAGAGCCTCTGTCTGAGGCCAAGCCCTCTGGAGATGTGGGAATCACGGGCTGGTGTCCCAGGGCTTATTCATACCCCACACTGCAACTCCACACCCACTGCAGCTCCCACACACACACTCACCATGAGATGCTGGAAGAGCCAAGAACGCATTATATTGGTGGCGTGCTTGGGCAAGACTCCTCGTTTGTTCTTGGACTTCTTATCCTCATTGTCCAGGAGGGAGGTGAGGTCAAGGTTAACCTTCAGGGCACGTGGAGAAAAAATCAGCATCAGCAGCCTGGCGGGCCAGCAGCTAGGGACCTGTTGCCATAGAGACGGCAGGCTCTCGCCGCCAATCCCCTGTCCCAACTCATTCTGAGGGTCCGGGGGAGGTCACCTCTCCTGTCATCTGGCACCAGCCCCTCAGGGAATGGGAGAAGGGAAGAAGGAGAGAGAAAGAGGAGAAGCAGGAAGAGGGGAGGAGGGGTAGGGGGATGAGAGAGGAGACAGAGGAGACAGGCTCATGCAGAAGGTATAGGGGAGAGGTTCGCCATAAACCATCCAGTGGTTGTTAGCATTTCTGGGGTACGTGAGCTTTTTTGGAGGGCTTTCCTATCCGTTAGCACGGTCAGCCCTCACATCAGCTCTGTAGGCTGGTGGGGCCGTGGGCAGCTGATGTGAGTCCCTCTTCTGTGGAGAAGAACTCAGAGACTCAGAGGGCTCAGCTGACCTATCCAAGATGGCGGAGCCAACGTCAGCTCTCCAGCCTCTCCCTTCAGATCTTCCCATCCCAGCCTGGCCTCTGAGTGTGCCCTCTACCCCACTGAGCTACAGACTGGCTCGGAGTGCAGAGCAGGAGGGGGAAGTGTAGGATCCCTCCACGTGACCCTGAGAGGCACTGAGATCTCAGGAGCTGGTAGAACCTTTCCAATGCCCACCTTCTTGCCCGTCAGATGGGGGTAATGATCCCTCCCTGGGAAGTGATGGGAGGCGAGGGAGCTAGTGGCAGAAAGCGCCTAGCAGACGGTGACCGGGCGCGGAGCCCTCCCCACACCATGCGCATGTGCACACACCTGCACTGCACACACACACTCACCTGTGTGTTCTGGATCTGGATGGCTCCCTGGGGGACTGCCTGGGTGACCACCTGACCCTGGGAGGTTACCATGGTAACCGGCTGGTATAAGGCTCCACCTGAGGAGACAACCAGTTTTGGGGTCCCCTGCCATAGGGACGGGTAGGAGTGAGGGCAAGCAGGGCTCCCAGTCCACTTGGCACTCACGTGTAAACACTCTCTACTCTGGAGGCCTTCAACCCCTGTGGCGGAGGGGTGGGAGGGGGTGGGGTGCAGAGAAGAGAGTCTCTGTGTGTGTTTCGGGGGGAAGGGTCTTTGGGTGGGGTTCATGAGACTACGACCCAAATTTGTTCCAAACCACCGTCATCAGGTCTTGCTAATGATCTGTAAGCTTACGGAACACTTTAGGCAAGAAACTCAGTTGGGAGCCCCTCCCTTGGCAGGGGGCACCCCCTCCCACATCCTAGGACACTTTGTTCAGTGTCTTGCTCCCCATCAACCCTGGAATTCCCTTAGGGCCACCCACTCTCCTCCCAGGGGTGTTCCCCAGAATCCCCTGCACAGACCTGACACCACTTGTGAGTTGACGGTTGTCATGGCGATGTTGCCCTGCTGGAGCGCTGAGGCTGGGACCACAATCCCCTGGGGGTTATTGGAGACTCCAGACATGGAATTGGGGGAATTCTGCAGGAGGTCCTGGCAGCAAGGGAGGCGTGGTTTGTGACAGTGTCACTAAGCGCTTAGCTGCCACAGCCCCAAATTCCTCCTCTCCCCTCCCGCTTCCTGCCTTCCCACCTCCCGCTCCTCCCAGACCCAAATCCAAAAGGCGATTCTCCCTAGAAAGTGTGAATAAGGAGACTCAGCCTTACAAATGACCAACCGACAAAAGTCATTCGCCGACCTATTCCATTCCCCTGCGAACTTGAGACAGAAATTATCCCCCACACCAGTGGTGCCTGCCTTGGCTTCACCATGGAAGCTCCAATATTGATGCCTGGGTTCCATCCTCAGACATTCTAACTTAATTGGTCAGGGGTGTGGCCAGGGCTCTGTGGGGAAAGTGCATGTTGAAAGCCCCGGGTGACTTGGATGTCAAGCCAGGGCTGGGAACCAGGCTTTACCTGCTTAGCACGTACTCATCCTTCACCCTCAGCTATCTCTAGAAGCCTCCTGCCACCAAGAGCCTCGCTGCTCAGCACCCGTATCACAGCGTTTATGACATAAAGCTCCACACAAATCAGCCTCCAACGTATTACCTGTCCTTAGTTCAGATCTGCCGTATCATGACTACTAAAATACTTGCTAAATAATAATAAAAATAGCCACCTGTCTTCTTCATCACCGGTCTTCCAGGACATCCCATAGGAGCATCCCCTCAGCTGGGGGCACATCTCATCGGCTTCTTCCCCTCCCTCAGGCCCCCAGCACAGAGCCCCCTGAGAGGCTCACTCCCCACACTGTCACCTGCTGGCCCCTTTCCCGCAGACAATCCAAAGCAGCTAAGGGGGCCATTTTTTTTTCTGGCACCCTCATCATTGCCACCTAAGAGCCGGGCAAAAAAGTGCCTGGACTCTGACACAGATGGACAGGAAGCAGACTCAGCTGAGGACCTCCAGGAAGGGGCAGTGAGGCCTCCCTCCTCGGCCACCGGGCGCCCTGCTCCGCTAGGGAGGGTTTGTGAGGAGGGAACTGGGTGTGGGGGTTGGGATCTCTAGGTTCCATTTGGAGAAAGCAAGGCAGGCATGAATGGGGGAAAGTGAGTGAGCCTGAGAAGACCCACTGGGGTCACCGAGCACCCCCAACCACAGTTCTTCCTGTGAAAACAAGACTTACACCGGTAACCTGCTGGCTAGGACGGGCATTCCCACGCCCAAGGCCTGCCTGGAATCACAGGCCTGAAGCTTTTAGGATTTAGACAGGAAAATGGTTAAGAAAAGGGACAGCAAGGTGATCAAACCAGTCAATCCTAAAGGAAATCAACCCTGAATATTCATTGGAAGGACTGAAGCTGAAGCTGAAGCTCCAATATTTTGGCCATCTGATGTGAAGAGCCAAGTCATTAGAAAAGACCCTGATGCTGGGAAAGATTAAAGGTGGGAGGAGAAGGAGGTGACAGAGGATGAGATGGTTGGAAGGCATCATCGACTCAGTTGCAGGAGTGTGAGCAAACTCCGGGAGACAGTGAAAGACAAGGAAGCCTGGCGTGCTGCATGCAGTCTATGGAGTCACAAAGAGTCGGACGTGACTGAACATGACCGTGGTTAAGAAAGTTGGGGGGAAAAGAAAGCCCCCAGCTCCCTAGCTTTGGTTTTAGGACCGGACGAGCTTGGACCATCAGCTGCAGGAAGATCGAGAGGGTGGAGCAAGAAGTGTGTGTCTGGAGCAAAACCTGGAGCCACAGACCAAGAAGACACGTCAGGGCCAGGGGACAGCTGTGGCACATAACTTCCCGGACCCTGGCTCCCAGGAGCTGGCTGAGCCTTACAGGTGGAGGCAGTTGGTACGGACAGTCTCACTTGATTCAGCTGCTTACCCGCCCTTGGCATCTTCTCCAGAACTGCCTTTTTTACCCTCCTGGACTGTCCGGCCCAGGGCTGAGGAGATCAGGCTATAAATAAGCAGTCGTGGGGCTGGAGTCTGGCTCCCCCTCCTCCACGCCCGGACCTCCCATCTGGCTTCTGATGGGGTGGGGTGGGGGAGGAGGCCTTGCTTCCCCACTGGGCTCACCTCTGCGGCTGTGACCTTGGGGAAAGGAGGAGGGGCCAGCTCCTGCCTCGCTTTTTCCTTTCTGGGATCTGTGAGGGCCTCCCCGCCAGTGAAGTTTATTCTTTGAGCAGGACTCTCAGCCTTTCCATTTGTACAGCTCAAGTATAATGCCGTCTGACCTGCAGAAACTTAGAAACTGGAAGGGCCCTTACAGTCTGACTATTCCAGCTCCCTGGGGTACAAACGAGGAACTGAGGCTAAGAAACCCAAGCCACTTGCTCAAGGTGCCCCAGGTGGGTAGCAACAACAAGCTTAGGCCACAGCCCTCCTTCACCCACAAACACTGCACCCCCCCACCTCGGGCCAAGAACTGGGCGGCAAGGTGTTCCTGGAATCACAGGGGTTTAATGAACATGAGCAGGTGAGCAGATAAAAACAACCCAAATCCGGACATACAGAGGCGGCATGGGCACCCGAGGAAAGGATGGTGGATTAGGAGTTAGCACGTCATGGCTCTTTGATCCCATGGCAACCCACCCCAGTAGTCTTGCCTGGAGAATCCCATGGACAGAGGAGCCTGATGGGCTGTAGTCCATGGGGTTGCAAAGAGTCGGAAACAACTGAAGTGACTTAGCATGAAAGCACGGCTTTTCAGTGGGCTCCTTATTTATAAAATGTGTCTGGCCCTGTGTTCACATCCAGGAATCCTCGAAGCCTGACTTTTCAGCTTGAGTCTGCTCTGAACTTGAGCTCCCCTCGATCCAGCCTTCCAGCCAACATTTCTCCCAGGGTGTAAACCAGCACTGAGATTATGAAAAGCTGGGGTAAACTTGAAAATTAAAAAAAAAAAACTACTTAGTTATTTTATTTGACTGTGCCAGGTGTTAGCTGCAGCATGCAGGATCTTCAGTTGAGACATGTGGGATCTAATTCCCTGACCAGGGATCAATCCCAGGCCCCTTGCATAGGGAAAATGGAGTCTTAGTCACTGGATCACCAAGGAAGTCTCTGGAAGGTAAATTTAATAGCTGGGGACAGCCACTCCATTGATACTCACCATAAAACTCATGGCAAATGACTTTTCAATGACCTCTGGTTTGGAACCATCCATACCATGGTGCTCATCATTGAATAAGGATATTTGGGAATTTCCAACATAAAAACTTGTTCCAGACCTTCTTCCATCCCCAAAATAAATCCAGCAAGGTTAGGAAAACACAAGCAAAGCCAGTAAAATAAATACAAGATGTATGACTTGGGATTCAACCAGCACATCTTTACCAGCCAGAGGCAAGAGAGTGAGTTATCACTTGGATCTTCCCTGGCTTATTCACACTCTGACTGGTTCTCAGCCTTGTGGCTTGGTTAGCTTCCGCGCCAGCTTCCCTGGTTTGGGTAACTAAAGGCAATTTACTATTTGGATCAGACCCTTCACTTTCCTACCCTTTCCTACTCTGGGTCTTTGCTGGGAGGTGCTAAGAGGCAGCTGAGTTACATCAGTAAAGGAACGGAACAGAGAACCTCAGGGGTGGAAACTGTGGGCAGGACCACATCTTAGCTGGGACAAAGAGAAGAAGCAAAATCTTGGCATCTCTGGGGTCTAGGGAAGTGGTATTCATCTCTTTGTTGGTGTCGTTGTTCAGTCGCTCAGTCGTGTCTGACTCTTTGCGACCGCATGGAGTGTAGCCGGGCAGGCTCCTCTGTCTTCCACTGCCTCCCGGAGTCTGCTCAGAATCAAGTCCGTTAAGTAGGTGATGCTGTCTAACCACCTCATCCTCTGCTGTCTAACCACCTCATCCTCTGCTGTCCCCCACTCCTGTTGCTGTCAGTCTCTTACATGTGGAAACATGAGCTATTTCACAAACCTGCCTGAGCACTGGGGTGTTTTTAAAGACACAGATTCTCAGAGCCATTGAATGAGACCATCAGCCATCTTGGGCTTTTTTCTTTTCTTTTCTTTTCTTTTAGTTGTTGGCATGTGGGATCTAGTTCCCTGACCAGGGATTGAACCGAGGCTCCCTGCCTTGGGATCACAGAGTCTTAGCCGCTGGACCACAAGGGAAGTCCTAGCAATCTGTGTTTTTCAAAAACCCCTCTCAGATGGTCCCAAAGATCAGCTGGGTTTGAACACTATATTTTTATTATACACATTGAATATCAGAGAACATTCTCTCACTGCGCTATTTCATTTTAACCTCACCACTACCTATGGGGTCAGCAAAGGAGAGAATTCCCAAATATCGTCGATTCTGTTTGCCTGAGGAGGAGTCGAGGTCCCGAGAATGGAAGTGACATTCTTGAGTCACATAGCTCTCGAACCCAGGTCTTCCAGTCCCAAGCGTGGCACGGATGCTGCGGTGGGGAGATGAGCTTTGGAGTCAGTCAGCCAGGCTCCAAGGTAAGCATGGTGTCTGGCACATTTAGGCACCTAGTAAATCATTTCCCACTTCCTCCAGCTAAGGTCACTCCACTAGGGAATGGCACAGCCAGCATTTAAAACCTGTCCTAGAAGTCGTAGAGCCTTGTGGGTTCCTTACTTAGCAACAGCAGAGCTTCACCCAGAGTTGCACACCTAGCCATGGTGGTCAGTGCCAGCCTCCCTGCCCAAATGGTGTCCCTGGGCCAAGGCCAAGCCACAGAACTCGAAGCTGCAGTCTCTGTCCCAGACAAGCCCCGTGACTTGACTTTGCAGCTATTTCTGGTTCTGCCTTCGTCTCCAGCCTGCTAGAGCCTTGTCTCTATGGAGACAAAGGGACTGGGTCTCTGGGGACCATCTCCTGGTCTTTTCTGAAGGAGGAGCTACTACGGCAGCAGCGGGAGCCCCCTGGGGAGAAGATGTTGGCTAAGCACACAGTGTTATTATCTTCTTGACAGCTTCCTCCTGGGGCCCATCACACTCCAAACCAGGTGGATGCTACCCCTTCTAGACCCAGGCAGAGCTGTTTCCTGCCAGGTTCCTTGGCCCCGTGGAGAGGTGAGAAGCACATTTG